AGATTTATTTATTTTTGGGACAGAGAGAGACAGAGCATGAATGGGGGAGGGGCAGAGAGAGAGGGAGACACAGAATCGGAAACAGGCTCCAGGCTCTGAGCCATCAGCCCAGAGCCTGACGCGGGGCTCGAACTCCCGGACCACGAGATCGTGACCTGGCTGAAGTCGGACGCTTAACCAACTGCGCCACCCAGGCGCCCCCCCCTTCCGCATCTTAGTCTCTGGGTTGGACAGATGTGAAACGGCATCTGCACCCCCGATCTGCCAGGACCTGGGACCCCCCAGTCTCTGCCCGACGGCCCCTCCCCAGGCAGGGACAGCTCACAGGTAGGGCAGGGGTCCCTTGCACTGACTTGCCCTGCCCCATGAGTGGCCGAGTCCCACAATTAATGCTGCTTTTGAAAACCATCAATTAACCAAGACACCTCAGGGAATGGAAATTAGGCCTGAGGTCCCCAGATCCTGCATCTGGGCAAGAGGTTGGGCGGGGCCAGGGCCACCAGATGCCCCTCTCCCCAGCTCACCCATGCAAAATCCAGTGGCCTCCAGGAGAGGACTCCAACTCCGGCACCCATACCGAGAGCCCCCCTCCCCCCAGCTCCACCTCTGCTCAGAGCCAGCAGCCCTGACATCAGTCACATCTTGCTGGCAGGTGTGCACAACAATGATCCACCCCAGTGAGCAGTGGGAACTAGGAGTGACCCTGACGCTGCTGGGTCCTGGGAAATGACACTTTAAATCAGGGAGCACTGACCTTTTCTGTAAAGGGTCGGACAGTAAATATCTTAAGCTTTGAAGGCCACACGGGCTCCATCATGGCCACTCAACTCTGCCTTATAGTGTGACAGTGGCCATAGATGCTAGTGAGCAAATGGGCAGGGCTACGTGCTGATGAAACTTTATTTATGGACACTGAAGTTTGAATTCTATATTTCACGTGCCACAAAAATGTTCATCTTTTGACTTTTTTCCCCCAACCACTTAAAAATGTAAAAACCATTGTTAGCTCCAGCCACGTGGCTGCATTTGGCCAGTAGCTTCCTGACTCCGCCTTTAAGAGACAGGCCTTATCAGAGGCCTTTCTCCCAGATCTTATCAGAGCCTTTAACACATAGCAAAGCTCCAGGCAAGCGCAGGATGTAGCATCTTCCAAATGTACAGGTCCCAGCCTGAGCTGGGACCTACTCTCCCATACGGTTTCCCCAGCCTCCCAGAAAGCCCTTCCAGAAGCCAAAGGCCCAAGGCCTGCACGGTTTCCCATGCAGGTGGGGGCCAGTCACAAGACAAGAAAGGGGCTTCAGGGGACCACCAGCCCCCTCCGACCTGGGTCTCAGCCGCAGCTCCCCCTCACCATGTCGGAGATGCTGTGACCTTCTCGCACCAGGACTGACACCATCTGCAGAAAGAACTGGCATTGGCTGGCGGACCCCCTTTGCCTCTCCTCGACCTGGCGGCCGCGTGAGTCCCCGCCCCGAGCCCCGGGCTGGGGGAGGGGAAGCACCTTGTCTGCCGGGAACACGACGGCAGCGCCTGCGCACGGCGTCCGGTTCTGGCTCCAGTTGGTGGTCACTTCGAAGTTGGTGTTGGGGACCCAGAGTTTGTAGGCCGCGCGGGTCATCGCTGGGGAGGGGGTGACTAAGTGCTTCCCGCTCAGACGCCCCAACCCAACCCCCAGGAGGAAGAAGGTTGGTCACAGAGCCCGGGGCACAGATGAAGTCTCCCTGTCAGCCCAGACCCTGCGGGAGCCCTGCCTCGGTGCTCTGACAGACTCCTACCGGATCTGCAGAGCCCGCTCCTGCGTGCCCTCCTCTAGGACACCCCCCCCCCCCAACCTCGGTATCGCCTCCTAGCCCCGCCCCCAGTTTGCTGGTCGTTGGAGCAGCAGGGGACCGATGTGAAGGGGGTAGGAGGCCTCTGCCCAGGAGAAAGCGCTGGAGGGTGGGCTCTGATCGGGATCTGTGTCCTGAGGGAACCGCCAGGGGCTTAAGAGAGGAGGACAGGGGGCGCCTGGGTGGCTTAGTCCCTTGAGCTTCTGACTCTTGATTCGGGCTCAGGTCATGATCTCAGGGTTACGGAGTTCAAGCCCTGCGTCAGGCTCTGCGTGGCGGGGTGGAGCCTGCTTGGGGTTCTCTCTCTGCCCGCCCCTGCTCATGCTCTCTCTCTCTCTCAAAATAAAAAAATAAACTAAAAATAAACTTACCAAAAAAAGAAAAGAAAAGGAGAGAAGGACAGGGACTGAGGAGCGTTGGGGGCGGACACCTGGGACACGCGCCGGCCCGGGTGCAAAGGGGGAGGGCCAGCGCGCCCCCGGGGACGGGGAAACTGAGGCCGCGGAGACCGCACGCGCACGCTGCTTCGGGCGGGAGCCGGGCCGAGCCTCCCGCGCCCCCCGCGGCCTGTCAGGCGCTCCCCCCAGCGCGCCCCCCGCTTACCGCACAGCTGCAGCCACAGCAGCGCCCGGCCCAGCGCGCCCATCCCGCTGCGGGCCCGTCGCGCCGACCCCGACCCGCAGACTTTGCCCCGCGGGGTCCACCTGACCGGGAGGGGCGGGGCGGGGCGGGGCGCGGCCGGCGGGCGGTTACACATTTACCTCCAGGCCCCGCCAGGAGGCGCCGGTCCGACTCGCTCCCTCCCCCACACTCAGCCCCGCGGGAACCTGAGGACCTTGGGCGCCGGGGAAGAGGGGCTCGTGAGGACCCACCCGCTCCGTGACGAGGGTGGCGTTGGGGCGGGGGGGGGGGGGGAGACGGTGGTGGCGGTGAACAACCTCTAGGGCCTCTGCTGTCTCTGTCCCTGCGCGTCTGGGGCTGCACCTCCTCGGCCCACACCCGCGGGAGCTGGGTGTCCAGCCTTCCGAGCAGGGCCCTCCTGCCGGGGCCGGTGCACTGTGGACGGTGGTAGATGGGCTGAGTGGCGAGCGCCTAAGAACGCGTGGTGAATGGCTGGCAGCAGGTGCATGGTGAGGGGTGGAGGGTGCGTGCTCTGGTTAGCCGAGGACGGGGGACAGAGGGATGGCAGGCGGTGAGCGAACCCACCGAGGCCCACCAACCGAGCGCTGGCGGGTGGAGGATGAGTGGTGCGTGACGGGGTGGGTGTGGCGTGGGACCGGGGGGCGATGGGCGGTGGCTGGTGGCTGGTGGCTGGATAGAGGGCAGCGGATTGTGGAAGGACGGGCGACGGACGGCGGGTGGTGGCCGCACGAGGAAGAGAGATGGTAAGCCTGGAGGGCGGACAAAAATGGTGCTTGGGTAAATGGACGGCGGGTGCGTGAGACAGCAATTGTAGATGTTGGAGGGGCTTTGTTGACGTGAATGGTGGGTGAGAAAAGGTGGTGGCTTTGGGCCGACGAATGGCTGGTAGGTGAGACTGGCCGGTGGACGGGGGGGATGCGGGGGCAGGATTTAGATGGACTGTGAGTAGCAGGTTAGCAGACAGATGGCTGCCGGGTGGATGAGAGCCGGGGGCACAGCCGGACACAGACGGATGGACGGACGGGTGTGCTGCTCGTGCAGGGTGGCTGGGGGTGAAGGGGGTGGGTTTGTGGGGGATGGGATGGTAGAGGGCGGGGGGGGGGGGGGGGGGGGGGC